AGCTTATATTTAACAAATGCATAGAAATCCTGCTAGGGCTTATTTTTCGGTAGGTCTTATTTTCGGGGAAACACAGTAGCTGTGGCTACAGGCACTGATGGGGTTTCACTCTGTTGCCCAGGATAAAGTATAATGGCATCAGTATAGTTCATTGCAACCTCACAATTCTGGCTCAAGAGAGCCTCTTGCCTCAACCTCCCAAGTAACTGGGATTACAGGTGTGCCTCAGTGTGCTTGGGTAATTTTCCTATTTTTTGTAGAGATGGGATGTCACTTTTGCTCAGTTGGTCTCAAACTCTCAACCTCAAGCTATTCTCCTGCCTTGGCTTCCCATAGCACTAGAATAACAGATATGAGCCACTGTGCCCAGCCCCAACATTTTCTTTTGTTTGTTTGTTTTTTTGAGACAAAGTCTCAAGCTGTCACCCTGGGTAGTGGGCCATGGGATCATAGCTCACAGCAACCTCCAACTCCGGCGCAGGTGATCCTCTTGCTTCAGATTTTCTTTTTTTTTTGGCTGGGGCCGGGTTATGAACCCACCACCTCCAGTATATGGGGCCGGTGCCCTACTCCATGAGCCATAGGCACCACCCTCAGATTTTCTTTTTTTGGTACAGATGGGGTCTCGCTCTTGCTCAGACTAGTCTCGAACTGTTAAGCTCAAGCAATCCTTCCACCTCGGCCTCCCAGACTAGGATTCCAGGCGTGAACCATTGTGCCCAGCCTATTTGTTTAAATTTAGTTTGTTGGCTGCGCATGGTGGCTCCTCACACCTATGATCCTACCACTCTAGGTGGCCCAACCAGGAGAATCACTGTTTTTTTTTTTGTTTGTTTTGTTTGTTTTTTGAGACAGAGTCTTACTATGTCACTCTCAGTAGAGTGCTGTAACATCACAGCTCACAGCGACCTCCAACTCTTAGGCTTAAGTGATTCTTTTGCCTCAGCCTCCCAAGTAGCTAGGACTACAGGCACTCGCCACAATGCCTGGCTATTTTTTTTTTTTTTATTTTGTTATAGTTGTCATTGTGGTTTAGCTGGCCCAGACCGGATTCAAACCCACCACCCTCAGTATGTGGCTCGTGCCATAACCACTGTGCTACAGGCACCGAGCCTGTTTTTCTTTTTTGTTTGTTTAAGTTTCAGGTTAATGTGGGGGTTAACCTGGTTAACCAACAACCAAATCACAATGTTTGAATTTGTTCAGGAGAATTACTTGAGCTTAGGAATTTGGGACCAGCCTGAGCAAGAGTGAGACCCCCTCTCTACTAAAAATAGAAAAATTAGTCCAGTGTTGTGCTGGTTGTCTGTATTCCCAGCTACTTTGGAGGTTGAGGCAGCAGGATTGCTTACGTCCAGGAGTTTGAGGTTGCTGTAAACTAGGCTAATGCCACAGCACTCCAGCCTGAGGCAAGAGAGTGAGATTCTATCTCAAAAACAATAACAACAACAACAATAGCAACAAAACTGAAAATATAATTTCCATATAACCTGGCAGTCCACTGCTCAGTATATAAAGAAGTGGAATTCAGGCTCAGCACCTATGGCTCAAGTGGCTAAGGTGCCAGCCACATACACCTAACGTGGTGGGTTCGAATCCAGCCTGGGCCTGCCAAACAACAATGACAGCTGCAACCAAAAAATAGCCAGGCATTATGGCGGGCACCTGTGGTCCCAGCTACTTGGGAGGCTGAGGCAGGAGACTTGCTTGAGCCCAGGAGTTGGAGGTTGCTGAGTTATG